GTGCTGTGTCACTGGACCACCCCAGCCGCAGGGGGACCTGGGGACAGATGGAGGCCAACACAGGATGCCACACAGGGGCCCGGGTGCAGGGGTGGGGGGCAGGGCTGAAGAAGAGGCACAGCAGGGGCTCTGGTGCCTCCAGGTGCCACCCGCTCCCTTCATCAAGGAGACCCAGCCAGAGCTGCCCCAGCCCTAGCTCGCCAAAGAAGAGCACAGAGAGGGTAAGCAACTTGCCTCAGATAGAACAGCCGCTTAGCAACGGGCCTCGAGTTGGACCTGGGCTGGGACAGGTCTCCTGCATGGGGTGCCAAGGACAGGGCCAGAGCCAGAGGGGGGGCAGGCGTGGAGGGGAGGAGCCAGCCCAGGTGGAAGGAAAGGTCCCTGGTAGTGACAGCCCTGTAGGGTCCCTGGCCAGGGGAAAAGGGTCTCTGGCAGAGAGGCCCAGGCAGGGCCACAGCTGCAAGGGGCACTGTCCCCACTAATGACATCACAGGAACCACAGCGTGAATCCTCTGAGGAAATACAAAGACCAACGCAGCCCTGGGGTAGCCGGGGGAGGGAGGGGCCAGAGGGCAGCGCTGCTGGACCTGGACGCTCTTGCAGGGACTCTGGGTCTGCAGGGAGGAGACATGAGGAGACTGAGGCAGGGGCTGCCCCGGGGTGGGGACTCGTGGGCAGGAGAAGTGTGGGGTGGAGGGAAGAAGAGGGGAGGATGTAGCTAGGGGCAGGGAGAACTTGGAGGACGCCATGACTCAGCTCACAAATGCCATCATGGACCTTGCGCGTGTGCCATGCAATTAGTAGACACCAAGCAGCTGCGTGGCAAATGGGTGAAGTATTTGGAGAGCAGACCTCGTGGGCAGGAGAAGGGGCTCAGTGCCCCCTGTTGTCTTCTGGATAATAAGGAACAGACTTAGCTGGCAAACACCCTTCTCCTTTGTCTCCTCTAGCTCTTTCTCATCTTGGACACAGATACAATGGCTGGAGTGCAGCAGCCACCTTGAGACCATGAGGACAAATGCTACCAATGATACAACAGGAAGGTACAAAGAACCTAAATCATTGACAACATCCCAAGGCTGTGTGCCAACTCCCCTGTCACCCTCTTTACATGAGAAAAATAAAACACCCCCACTGGGGTGCAACCACACAGTGGTTGGATTTCTGTCTTATATGCCAAATCCAATCCCTCACTGACAAGGTATAAAATAACGCTGGATTGTTTTTATTAGAAAGTTACTCTCAATTTAATTCTTTTCGATGTTCCTGATTACATCAAAAAGAAAGCCTCATATCGGGGTTGGTGAGTCTTGAACACCTCTGTGCACTTGCTGTTCTTCCTCTCTGTCTTTCTTTTTAATAAAGCAATAGCAGACCTCGGGCTCCCAGCCTCCCCCCGGGCTATAGCATCCGACTAGAATTTAATAACATTGTTTTCTTTCCACTGAATTTATTTTTATGATTATGAATTCTATTTATGGCAAGGGAGCCTTGTTGGCAATTTGTGTAGTGCTATAAAGCTTCCTTTTAAAATAAATGTATTTAAGTTTAAAAAAAAATAGATTGATTTAGAGAGAGACTGTCAGAACCAGCCGGAAGGGTGGAGGGGTCTGTGAGGGGACGCCCCAGCGGGGACGTGGGGTGGGAGACGGCACGACGGACCTTCAGCCCTGGGCGGGGGGGGGGGGGGGGGGGGGGGAGGTCAAAACAGCCCCATGGCATTCTGGGGGCTGCATCTCTGCCGTCCAGGGGCTTGTCCAGCCTGGAGAGGGGAATGGCTTCTCCTGGGCCTGGGGGGTTCCTAGTAGGCCCAGGGTCAGAGTCGTGGTCATGGGCTGCGAGATTGGGCAATGAGCTGTGGGCGGGGGGTGGAGCTGTCCTGGCCACCAAGCTGCTAAGTCAGAGTCCCAGGCTCCTTCCCAACCGCCTGTGAGAGGCAGGACTTCCAACGCGGGCTCCAGAGCGGTGACCTTTGGCTAATTAGCCTGGGCTATTTGCTCTGCAGCCGCAGGCTGATCTCTGGACAGCAGCTCAACAGGCCAACCCCGGCCTGTCGCCCAGGGCCCTGCTGCGGGGCGGGGGAGGGGCGGCACGGGAGCCTGTGCTGGTGGCCTTGGGCAAGTCGCAGGACACCCGCAGGGAGTGGCATCGCCCCACAGAGCCCTGCTCCACCTCCATCCACACCTGCCTCCTCCTGTCTGTCTGTCTGTCTGTCTTGCTGTCTCACACCTTGGCTTGTCCCTCTGTCCCTGGTGCTGAACACAGAGTCCATCCAAGGTCCCCTGAGGTCACTGGAACGCAGAAGCGTCCCCTCCGGATTCTTAGTCATTGCTTCAATGAAAGCAACCTTGGTGGCACGGGGAGGAGGAGGGAGGGGACAGGAGCCCAGAAACTTTCCTCACGATGACGAAGCGGTGCATCTAGTGGGGACCCTGGAAACAGTGCGTCCCACCCCCAGGTTCCTGAGGAAGCCCTGGCAGAGCCACACCGCCATCAGACCCCGCCGCGGGGGCCGCGGTGCCATCTGCTTCGCCACCTGCCTTGCCAGGTAGCTGGGCTGGGGAACGTCCCTCCATTCAACAAGCGTCGGCCCCCTGCCAGGCTCGGGAGGCGCAGCACAGCACAGCGCGGCCAGGAGGGAGGAAAGCAGGAGCCCTGGGCACCCACGGATGTCCCCGTCACCCCCTTGTCCAGGGCAGCTCCTGATTCCACCAATGCCCACCTCGAAGGAGGGACACACCAGCCCTTGGACAGACTGACAAGTTGGAAGTGGAAAATGACTTGCCCCGTGTCCCAGGTCAGCAGAGTGGGTGGGGACAGGGGGGCCTGGGAGAGGGGAAGTGACTGCAGGGTGCCTGGGGAAGGGGCCAGGCGGGCGGGTGCAGCCAGCAGGATCCCGCCTGCCTGCGCCACCTCGCCCGAGGCCACCCAGCCTGAGTTAGCCGCCCCCAGCTGCCCACCTCCCTGACCTCCACTCTCCACCAGTCCCATCTCCTGCTAGAGCCACATCCCACCACGGCCTGGGGCTTATCTGGATGCCTGGGGGTCTCCGAGGACCAGAGTGGCCAGAGCTGCTGCCCCTCCCTCTGTCCTGGGGACACTGGGCGCCTGCTGTCTGCCTCCCAGGGAGCCTGGATGCAGAGGCAAGTCCCCACCTGGGTCTGGCTAATGGCAGGTGCTCCACGGGAGTCTGAAGGGTGACCTAAGGGAACTGGTGGATTCACGGTGCCCCTGCCAGTCCCTGGGCGACACCCCCCTTCACTCTCCCTGGCCCCTTGGCCTGGGCTCAGCTGCTCTCCAGTGCGGATTCCTCTCCAGCTGAGGATGGTCACCTCCCCCAAAAGGACTCCCGATCCCCAGCCCGAGAGACACCTCCCAGGGGGTCCAGGCGCAGGTTTGGTCTTGGGGTACTTTGCTCCTGGAATGGGAAGGTACTCCCCGATCTGGCTCATCGCCCCGTACTCCCTGGTGGAGCACTCAGCTCAGAGGTCCCTGCTGATGTGGGGCGGGAAGGAAAGGCTGCGGAGGCAGGGGCACGTCTCCTGCCCGGTGACACCCCGGTGGCCGGCACCAGGGCAGACGCTTGCTCACTCCTGTACCCTTGTGCAAGAGAAAGACTGGGAGCCGGAGCCGGAGACCCATGCCCAGACCAAACCACTGGGACGCCCTGTGGGCCTCAGTTTCTCCACCTGTAACATGAGAGTGGCGTGGCCGACCCTGGGGGCCTCTCCCACTGGAGATGGCCAGGCCCCGCGAGGCCCCTGAATAACTTCACTAGCCATTGGAGCAGGGGGAGTGAAGTCCGCTGGGACCCTCCCCAGAGCCAGGTCCACCCTGTCTTCTGAGAAGTCTGGTGGCCATTTGACACCAGTAGAATAGGCACATCTAGGAAGAGTCGAGATGCCTGTGTTCCCCATGTGATCAGAGAGAGAGCCCCACAAAGTCCCGAACCCCTTTCTCTCACTGGCCTTTAAAACCGGCCTTGAGTAAACCCTGGGTCACTTTAAACAAATGCAAAACCCGGCAACGCTCAGTCCTGAACGCAGAGGCAGCCACCCACTGAGAAAACCCAGAGCTTAAAATCCAAAATTTCCAAATGGAAATGGGTACAGTGGCGCACACCAGTAATCCCAGCAACTCGGGAGGCTGAGGCGAGAGGATCTCAAGTTCAAGACCAGTCTGAGCAACTGAGCCGCAAGATAAAAAAATAAAAAAGGCTGAATGGAATGTGGTCCAGCGGTAGAGAGACCCTGGGTTCAATCCCCAGTGCCAAAAAAAAAGCACTACATTATTTCCCAACAGCACCTCCTCCTGGTCACGTGAGGTATGACGACACAGCTCTGCAGGACCACACACTGAGCCAAAGCACCTGCATCTGAGCTCAATCTCAGTCCAGAACTGGGCAAGCAAGACCACCAGGAGGAAGTCAAAGTCCAGTTGCCTGAGAGGCAGCCCATGGGATTGCGGTAAATGAGCCCACCCCACCACCTGCCACCTGCAGGCAAGACTCTCAGCAGGCACTCCCCAGCAGGGCCTGGCCTAGCACTGGACGGAGGCTGCAGACCCAGCCCCTGTCCCTCCGGGAGGCACTGTTGCATCCAAGAACCTGCCTTGGGTTCAGGATGAAGCCACGTAAACCTTGTCACCCAGGCCATACCACGTGACTCCACATGCACATCAATCTCAGGGCTGTCCTGGCTCGTCAGGGGGCATTGTGACAGGCCCCCAGCAAGGCCACCACCTACTTGGACCCCTTCCAGCTCCCCGACACCCCCAGCTGCTCTTGCCCACTCCTGAGGCAGCCCCTCTGCCCTCACCCACCTGCAGGGACAGCCACCTCTGACCAGGATTCAGTCCCTGAGCAATACTTCTTCCTGAAGGACATTTGGCTTGGCTTCGTCCCCTTCCGGGACTGCGCCAGCCCAGGGCCTACCTCACAGCCCCTAAGGAGGCGGCCCTGCCCCCTTGTCGAGCACGTGATGAGCGAGACTGTCCCTTACCTGTGGGTCAGGGCCCGTCAGCCACCCAGCACAGCTGAGGAGTACAGACGAGTGGACTCGTGCCTGCAGGGGTCACGGGCATCTTCTCCTGGCTTCAGGACACAGAAGGACAATGGCTGGACAAACGGTCGCCAAGGCAGTGCCCACTGTGGAGAGACAGAGGAGAGGTCTGAAGCGCACACCCACGGTGGCTTCAGCCTGTGGAAGGTCCTGCCTGTCAGAGCCACCAGACGCTGGTCCCCTGTGCACTTTACTGCTGTGGTTATGCCTCGATGACAGGAGAGAGCAGGGGACTTCTTGCTGCACCAGGGCCCTCGGGGCAGAGGCACAGACAGCCGGTCTGAGGCAGCAGCTGGGCTGCAAGGCACCCAGGAGCAGGTGGTCACCACACCAGTTCCATCCTTGGCCACTCTGCTGTGGCCCAGGGGTTGGTCACCTTCTGGGCTGCAGTCCTGGAGGCTCTGGGACCAGCCTAGTGGGGACATTCAAGGCTCCCTGTGTCCCCTGATTCACTTGACCTCCATGAGATGGAGGCCAGTCTGGCTAAGCAATGACCCTGGGGAGCTCACCAGCCCTGGGGTCCCAGAAGGTCCCTCCCCACTCCAGGGCACCTGCTGCTTGGAGGCAGGACACCAATGCCAACCAGACCATCCTGAATGCAGGAGAAAATGAGGAAAGAAATGGCAGCCTCAGGCCAGGGCCCAGCATGGACAAGTGCTGAGACGCCCGGTCTGCCCAAGGTGACATGTCCACCCCAGGCAGCCTCTCATTCCACTCTCTGTCCCTGGGAGGTGGCACTCCACCCCTGTTTTGCAAATGGAGACGCTGAGACTGCGCAGAGGAATCCTTTTCCCCAGGGTCACACAGCTTGGATGTGGTGACAGAGCCACATCGTAGACAAGGCCGGGTCCCAGGTGTGATGCCACCACTCTGAGCTCTTGGTGAATGAAGATGCTGAAGGGCCGGGTGGAAGGTGCCGCAAGTAGAGGAGGACAAGTGACCAGAGGAGGTGGCATCTGCAGGACAAGGCCTTTGCAGGTGGTGCAGGGTGGGCGGGGCCCTGTGCTGCCCACAGCAACCCTCCGCGGGGCGGGAGCCACCAGCCCAGGCCTGCCCACGCCCACCCCACCAGGGCCAGGCAGGAGCCGGGCTGAAGGCAGGCGAGGAGGAGAACCTGTCGCCGGAGGAAGTGTGCGTGTGTGCAAATAGAAGAGTGACTGGCATGTAATTACCTAAAATTGTTGGTTAGAAGCGGATGTAAATAACCAAAAAATATGTGGGGAAGTGGGGGGAATGTTCATCAATTAGAGCTAATTACTTAACAGCTAATTCAAATAATAATGGACTGTATTTGAATATGCTAATGAGGCTAAACCTGTCTTGGAAAAGGTAATTGAAATAAAAACAGCAGGAGGTTCCAGGCTGAGACGGAGCCCGGGGACCCAGGCCCAAGGGCTTCCTCCCCAGGATCCCCTGCGAATGGACGTTGGACACAGGGCACTGACTGGTCCTCCGCCCGGTCCAGCAGCCAGGGACGCCCAGGGGAGGGCAGGATGGTGGAGGCCTCGTGCAGAGCCCCACTTTACAATGACGTTGAGTTCAGAGAAAATGTGGGAGGCCCGACCCCAGACACCGTGTCCAGCTCTCTGACTTTCCAGGGAAGCAACAAGGGCCTGAGCCCGGGAGCCACTGAGCCAGGCCAGGCCACCGGGCAGGTCCGGGGCCGCTGGTCCCTCCCCGGCTGTGCCAGTTCTGCGTGGCTTACACCCAGTGAGGGGTGCTGAGCCCAGGTCAGGCTCTTGTCCCGGAGCACACACGGTGAGCACACACCAGTGCACACACGCATGTGAACACGCAGACACATGCATGTGTGGGCACACACAGGAGCACGCCTGCACACACGTGCACACACTCACAGCTGCTGCTCGGCACACCTGGCCTGAGCATCCAACGTGTCTCTCAACCCTGAGCTTGAGTGCAGCATCTTGCCAGGACCCCCAGGGGGCTGAGCGGGAGGCCACTCGGCCAGGGCGAGGCTCAGGCCCATGCAGGGACCCGCTAGGGAGCCGGGCAGGTGGGGGTCTCTGGGACTGTGCTCTGTCTCCACAGGAAGGCAGGTGACTCAAGGTGGCTTTAAGTTAGCACTCATATTACCACCAGAAACCCACGCGTCCGAAGGGCCTGCGTCAGTAACAGCTGCGTGGACGTGGACGTGCTGTGGACGTGCTGGTGGGGGGGCGGAGGGGGGGAGCTCAGTTGAAGTTAAAGTTGGGAAACCAGCCACCACGGCCCTGGGGGCTGTTCTGGGGCGGAGGCAGCGCCCCATCTGCATCTGGCGCGGATCCAGGCGGCCCAGGAGGTGGAGCTGCTGGGACCACAGGGCCACAGGGCCGCAGGGCGTGAGGTGGCACCTGTAGGCACTGGGATAGGACTGGCCTTTGAGCCACACCACCTGCTGGGGTGCCCCTAATAAGCTCCGGAAAGCTCCCCACCCCGCTTTGGTTTCCCTTGACCTCAGAGGCCACCTGGGCTGCAGAGGTGACCATTGAGGAAGCCCTGGAAATAACACGGTTGTGTGTGTGTTACTGGAGGTTGAACCTGGGGCCCTCTGCCACAGTGGTACATCCCCAGCCCCCTTTATATTTTCAACACAGAGTCTAACTAACTAAGTTGCCAGGCTGACCTTTAACTTGAGATCCTCCTGCCTCAGCCTCCTGAGCACCTGCGATCACAGGTGTGCGCCACCACACCCGACAACACACACACAGGTTTCTCTATGATATCTGGGGACTCATCAGGCCCCCCAAGACCATGGGCGGACTCTAAATGCCTAGGACAGATGGGGAAATTTGCCGATGAGAACGAAGGCCCAATCCCATCAACTCAATGGCCATGGGTCAGGTGGGGCCGGGACAGGAACCAGGGGTTCCCATTACACAGAGGGGTAAACTGAGGCTCTCGGGGGCCAGACTGCACAGCTGGTAGGCGGGAAAAGGAAGCCAGGGCTCCAGTGTCGGGCACCCACTGTGCGCAGCAGGGAGAGGCCCGGGCAGCACACACACGGGCAGCCACACACGATGCAGAAGCAGCACTCCATTGCTGCCTGGAGGCTCCCAGGGGCCTCAGAAGTGGGGGCACCCCAGTCTCCTCCTTCTGCCAGGACGGGGAACAACTCATCGACTTGCAAATGTCCGGGTAAGAGGGGTGGGAAAAACCGACAGCGCCCAAACTTGACATTTGCATTTCAAACACTTATATCAGCAAAACAAATAACAGTAATTATACCATTTGCATATTTTGTGCAATGATTGTTTAGCGAGGTGGGAGGAGGGGGGCCTGCTGATGCCAGCAGTCCGGCCTCCCGCAGCTGTGCCACCCCGCCCCAGGATGTCGCCACCACCTCCCACCCTGCCCGCCTGGCCCTGTGCTGACCCCTAGGACCTGCCCACCTGGGGCCGGGCTCTGGCTCCTCCAAGCTCAGCCCTTAGACACTGAGGTCTCCCCCAACACGTCCCTCCCTGTCGCCCAGCAAGTCCCGCCTTGGGCCTCCGCGCTGGCGGGCTCCCTGCCTGGGAGCCTCTGTCCCATATTTGCATTTACCCAGCTGGCTCCTCACCACTCACAGTCCAGCTACTGGTCACCCCCTCCGCCACTCCAGGAGCTCCACCAGGCCAGAAGCCGACCTTGAGTCCTGTTGGACAGGGCTGAGGCTTTACTTGGTATGGAGCCCACCAGTCCTGGCTCTGCCACACAGTAGGTCTTCAGCGAATAGGAGGTGCTCTGACCCAAGTTCCTGCCTGCTTTCCACTGTGTGCTGGACACTAAGCCGCTGAGGATGTCCAGGCCTGGCATGTCCATGCCTCCCAGGGATGCATGGTGGAGGGGTCCCCAACTCACAGACGTCTTCAGGGGGATATTGAGTTGAGGAGGAGGAGTCAGGTGGGAGAGGTGGGCTGGTGAGCTCATCTCCCCCACACCCACCCATTACCTCCAGAATCCCAAGCCAACCCGTGCTGTGGTTCGAGGGGCTTCCTGGGCATCCAGGGTGACCCACACCAGGGCTGGCTGTGGCTGTTCTTGGGGGGCCTCAGGCAGGTCTCCAGGCCCCATCCACCTTCCTTCTCTGGGCACAGGGACTCCACAGCACCAGGGACCTGGTTGAGACCCACTGGCCACTCATCTCCCTGCCCTCTTGGCCACAGATGGTCTCTGTGCCACAACCTGTTGGGCAGACCTTGAATACAGTGTAAATGTCCCAGGGAAGGCCATGGGCAGACCCTCAGGAATTAGCCTGTCCAAGACGAGGAGCTAGGCCCTGTTGGTGGTCAGGACATTGGGCTGTGTCCCCAGGAGGCTCAGAAGGGGCTGTCCAGGGAAAGCCTGTTGGCCAGGCCCTGGGAGGGGTGAGGGTGGGGGAGCAGAATCCAGCAGCCAATGTGAGCACAGCGTAAGTGGACGACACTGTCTATGGTTTGTGCCCGAGTCGCTGTGTCTAGGTGTGACCAGGTGTATACAGAGGGTCTGGTTGCAAATGTGCATGTGTGTCCATGCAGGCGTGTGAGGGTGCATGTGTGTGCTCGTGTGTAAGCACATATGTGTGTGTGTATTACAGTCATCTCCAAGCCGTGCCGATCCTTTTGCCTGGATCAGGGACAAAGAGACCTCTCACCACCCAGTCTGGGGAAAGGAGGGACAGATTCAGCCCCCTCAGAGCTGGGGAGGGAGCTGGGCCCATGTGCCAGTTCCCCACCCCCATCACAGCTGGTCCAGGGTCCAAAACCCAGAAACAGCCAGGCTAGGATGCAGGCCCCATCTCTGAAGGAGGATCCTCCCAGACAGCAACAGTGCAGGGCCCCCAGTGCCATGCGACTTGGTGGGTTGTCTTGCTGAACCATCCCCAAGCCCCTTGAGGTGGGAACAACAGTACTGTTATCCCGCTTTTCCGATGCAGAAACGGAACCTCAGAGAAGTGATGTCACTCGCCCAAGGTCTCACAGAAGAGCTGGGATTTGTCCTGAGCCCGCCTGGCTCTTGTTTTCTGCAGGACATGTCCTCAGCTTGTCTGCTCTAGGGACAGCCCTCTGCAGCACAGGTGTCATTAGACCCCCACCCCCACCCCACTGCACAGGTAAGAAACTAAGTCTCA